CAGACAGACAGACAGACAGACAGACAGACAGACAGACAGACAGACAGACAGACAGACAGACAGACAGACACACAGAAAGTTCAACAAGCATAACAATACACTTCAAAGATTCAAGTGCAGATTGTTACCATGTCTTAGTTTGACCCCTAGCCCTCACTTCTAAGGTTCAAAACAAACGGGTCCTTCATTGTTAAAAACCGCCGGTCAATACAATATACACTGACGATTACAACTCTGTGCAGAGAGCAATAAAGTTACAGAACTGGTAAAACAGGGACATTTTCCTTTCTTCGATAAGTATTGTACCACCACCACTACCACCATATTTAGCATTGATACACTAACCGCAAAGTGCGAAAAATAACCACGAAGTATGAAAAGATGTTGAAAAACAAAGTCTGAATGTTTCCAAGCAAATCTAAGCCCCGGATGTTGCCTTTTGTCCCCGACCTCCACATCAAACAAAAAAATAAATAGCCCTTGACAATTCACGCATGAGTGATTTCTTGGAAACCTTTGATTTTTGTTTTTCCCAGTACCCCGCAGTCACTATTATAAAGGCTATTGTGCCAAATTGATCTGTGGGTATTTAAAGAGCATAAATTGATTTTCTTTTAAATATTACTGCCATCAAATACATCTGCAGGTACTTTTTGTTTGTTTCACTTCAAGCTCGGAAAAGAAAGACTGATGACGCGAAACGGAAGACTATTCAATGATGCCGAACCAAGTGCAGATATAGAGATTATTAAGATTAATACTTTTTTTATTCCCCCCCCACACACACACACATTTTTCGACTTTTTCGCTTTTCATTGTTTGTTTTTTTAATCCTGACAGCGATCACATTTGGCTGTCACTTCGACTGTTATGCTAAATTGATTTCTGAGGCCTAGGCTAATGAATATTATCAATGGATCTAAAACAAAAAGCATCTAATGTGTCAAGATGTAGAAATATACTTTTTTCTTAATATAAACGCTCGCCTTTTTAAGGCATATTTTTTTCTGTCACTAAGACAAATAAAGATGAAAGAAAAAAATCAAACCTTTTCGAAGCACATTGAAGAGACTGCTCTTTGAGTCTGCTCGTGAGGAACCGTTAATTTCAATCATGGAAATTCTAATCCGGAAGTAAGGAGAGAGCCTGCCGGATGCGCCCAGGAAGCCATATTTGAAAAAGCTTTTAATATTGAGTTTGAAAAGCACAGTCAGCGGAGCAATGAAATCTTGTGTTTGCACATCGATCATACAATAAGTGGATAGTCAATATGGAGCCGGGCCCACCTTTTTCAGCGGAGACTCTATTTACCGATTCGCTTGTTGATCTTAGGAATCTGTTGACAGTGCGTGAAGATAGAATGACAAGAGGGCGTTACCAAATGCTCACAGTTGTGCATGCACTGGCATTGCAACGCTTGGGCGGCTGTTTGAATACAGTTGAGTGGGTGGCTGGTGGGAGCTCTGGTGTGGTTTGCTTTTTCTTTCTTATCAAACTTAATATTATGTCATTCTTAGCTCTTCTCTGTATTTTGTTTTTGTTTATCATTCTTTGTAATATCTCTAAACTTTTGCACTTAAATGACCGTAATACATGTATATAGAAAATGCCATAAAATTCTTACTAAAGTAATAAAGTAGCAAGAGCAGTAAATAGCATTATGTGAACCTTTGCGTGCATAATATATTGTTAGCATTACAAATGAGGTTTTGTTACATTGTTGGGCCATAACTTTACAGTATGCAAAAACAAATTGTTTTCTGGGTTTTTTTTACGAGATTTGGCAAAACATTGGCACAAAAAAATCAACAGTGTTTATAAAATTCAGTTTTTTAGTAGATGTGAAATGGTTTACAAACTTGAAGTTTTCTTTCGAAACTATGTTACAAAAAGAGTGTAGCTGAAAACAATTTTTTCGGCAGATAGTTCATATGAAAATGTAGTCATAAATAATTGTTAAATAAATATGCAAGTTTGAAACGAAACACATACAAACACACACACACACTCACACACACACACACACACACACACACACACACACACACACACACACACACTTACACATACACACATACACGCACACACAGAAAAAAACACGCCAACACACACAGAAAAAAACACGCAAACACACACAAACACACACGCACACACACACACACACACACAAACAAACAAGGAAACACACGCAAACACATGAACACATACAATTTCACACTGAGGTAATTACTCATAAATGCAAATAGGCCTACTAATATTTCTTTACTGACTCTAAAATGCCAAGAGACCAAACTAAAAGCATAATGTATGCACAAGTGTGTTTATGATATAAATATTATATAGGTTTATGACTTGACTGAGTGTAAATGCTTGGACCCACACTTGCAATCCACGTATACAAACACAAACATACATAGCCACCCACAGACTAACACACACACACACACACACACACACACAC